TCAGAGAAGGAGTGTCACCAGCAGGATGGACACTGGCAGCAGCTGCCAGGCCTGTGTTTCCACCCCTCCCTGTAACAGACCCGCTGGAAAGGGAGAAAGGGAAGGCTCAGAGCAATGGACTCACCTGTATGCAGCCCCTCAGCCCGTTCTGCACCTCACCAGAGCCCAGGACTCCCCCCACATGCAGATGTTTCACCTTCAGGCCATGCAGTTCATTTCCGACAACCACTGTATCCTGCAGAAGGAAAGGAGTAACATGGGGCAATTGGCATCAGCCCTGCCCCAGCCCCTCTGAGGGTGCAGAGGCCCATCCCTTCCCATGTATGCCAAGCATCCCCCACAGTTCCTGTCCTGGTGCCGGGGTCTAAAGCAGCACCTACCTGATAGAGCCCAAAGTCCAAGGTGAGGGTGATGACGTAGCGTGAGTCTCGCCCGCTGTGGACGTCCCGCAGCTCCAGCTGGAGGTCATGCCATCTCCCATCACTGAGCTGCAGCTGGTCCAGAAGGAGGCTGGTGCTGCGCCCGGACCCCCTGCTCACCATGAAGGAGAGCAGGCCCCCAGCCAGCTGCAGAGAGGGAACCAGCAATGGCAGCAGTGAGCAAAGGCCTCACCACTCTGGCTGCCTCCCACCTACCCTCCCTCTGAGCATGGGGAGGGAAACCCAGCCCTGCTAAACACCTCTCCCCGCAACCACCCTCTGCTTCGGCTGGAGTCAACATGGAAGGCAGGGTCCTCCTGCTCTCCTGGGGCAGACGGCAGTAGAGGCTGGGGCATGGTGCTGCAGCTGAGGCTGCGGCCCTACCTGGCAGAGCAGGGTGGTGTACTGGCCAGCATGGGCTTGCAGAAGCACCCCATCTGCCTGGCGTGTCCGAAACGCCAGCCCCAGGTACCACGGCACTGAGATCTTCACATCTGTCTTGAAGTCCCAGGTCAGGACACTGTTGCCCTGGAAATAGTGGGCATGGTGCATGGCTGGAAAGGAAAGTGGAGGTGAGGAGAAGGAAGGGGCACTACACAGGGAACACTAGATGCAGGGACAACAGAGATAGTTCATCTCACATGGACCCCTTACTCTGCTTCCACAGCAACTCCAGCACAGTCTTACACATACCCACCCTGCCCACGCCCAGCAGCGCCCGCTCACTCACGGTGGCGGCAGTCTTTGCCCCCGAAGCCAACAGGACAGAGGCAGGAGTAGGTCCCCCAGCTGACAGAGCAGGTGCCACCGTTCTTGCAGGGGCTGGAGTCGCAAAACGTGTGCTTGGCATGGCAGCCTGGAGGTATCAAAGTCACCCATGTCAGCCTTGACCTGCTCACCACCTCCCCCAGCCCACACAGAGAGGCACCACTGCCCGCCAGCCCTTTCCCTGGCTGCCAGAGGGGCAAGCCCAGCTGCTCAGTCTCTCCACACGGGCCCTGCATGCTCAGGGATGAGGGTCAAGGCTGTTGCTGCTCCTTATGCCAAAACAAAGACAGTGCAGAGCTGGACTGACTACCTAGCATCTCTCAGACAGGCCAGCTCTGCAGGCTCTGCACTTGGGATCAGGGGGCATTCCCAGAACATTAGCCAGGGTGAGGACCGGCTCATTTAGGGGGATCTGGAGGCCCTGTTCTCCAACAGGAGGCTGTTCAGCTCCAGTTGTGCTGCCATGATGCTGTTATAGCCTGGCAGTGCTGCTGCATGAGCAGAAGAGAATTCCCAGGGCAGGGGCTGGCAGGAGCAGAGGCACTGGTACCTGCAGCAGTTCCGTTGTTGGCGATGTAGGAGGCCAGGTCGATGCGTTTGCTGTCGATGTACAGGTCTCTCATGCATCCCACAAAGTCCCGGTGAGTGACAGGGAAGTTTTCCGGCAGGTTGGGGACCCCTCCAAGGAGCAAGGGACCTGTGAGGTCCAGGGACCTAGAAGGACAGAAGCCCAGGGCTTTAAGAGCTACAGCAACCTTGGGCCAGCCAGCTGGCTCCCCAGCACAAGGGAACAGGCACACACAGCCAAGGTCCCAGATGTGAAGGGGTGACTCCACAGGGGACCCAAGTGCCCTGGTCCTCTCCACACAGCAGCTGTGCCCAGCGGTCTCCGAGGAACTCACTTCTTTGAGCTGGTCTGCACACCCTCTGCAGCACAGGAGTAGTTCCCGATCTCGCTGCCGAACTGCAGGGCCACCGAGGCATCACATTCGTCCACTGTCAAGATGGCCACCTTGTCCTTGGAGGGGCCCTGCACCACCCCCAGCGCGCTGAGCTTGGGCTGAAACCGAACACAGGGCATTAGCAGCACATGTGCCACCAGACCCAGGCACCGAAGGGCTCTCTTGACAGCAGGGAAAGGGCCTGAGCACGGCCCAAGCACTGCTGCGCTGCTGGAGGTGTGAGCAAAGCAGGAAGGACCTCTCCAGCTGAGCCCAGCGAGCAGTGCCAGAGATGGACACGGGCAAGGACACTGTTTGGAGTGCATTACTGCAACTGCCGAGTGCAGTCCTGAGGGTCAATTTCCCCCTGCACCCAGCTGGCTGTCTGCTCCACTACACCCATCCCCAAGGGCTGAAAACCACCTCTACCTTCTCTCCACAGCCTCCCCCATAGGGAAGAGCCAGACAACAGGAGATCCACAGCCACTCACTCACACTTCACGGGGAGGGAGAGAGACCCATGTGTACGGGGAGACAGCTGGGGCACACATACCTTGTTGTAGTAGTGGAGCTGCAGTGTGTGCCACTGCCCATCACTCACACCCCCTGGCAGGTAGGGGCTCACCACTGTGCTGGACTCTCCTGCGGAGACAGGGATGACGGCATGCTGAGGGAAGCCAGACAGCCCTCAGATGCGCCTGCCCCTCCTGCAGGCACCAAACCCACCATGCTGCCAACGGCCTCGTGCAGGGAGAGACAAGGCCTTCAGGGAGACAAGCTCTGCCTGCTGGCCTCTGCCTGCTGCAGCCTTGCAGCAGGAGCGAGGCAGCGGGAATCGCAGCCCTAGGACCAGCAGCCAGCACCCTGGGGTAGTTCCTCTGTCCAGGCCAACTGCCAGGGTGCCCTGGCACCGTGCATCTGGCCCCTTGCCAGTCACTCACTGCTGGGCCTTGCCCTGAAGAGACCAGTGCAGCCAGAGTAGTAGCAGGATGGCCACCAGGCACTGTGTGCAGAGGAGAGGGGAGGAGAACTGGACCCAGGGCTGGAGGGAAGCCCCAGTTGTTAACATGAGGGCCTGGTTAACATGAGCTCCTGGCAGCTGATCCTCATACCCCTCAGGGCAGGCAGGATGGGCACAGCAACAGCACAAGGCAGCAGGGAATGAGCCTGAAAGCTAGCAAATGCTCGTCCCAGGAGGATCCTCCTCTCCAGACTGGCTCACGGCAAGGCAGGACATGAAGCTCAGTGACATAATGAGGCAGAACAGCAGTGGAGACCCCAAAATGTTTTGTCCTGGTTTGTGCTCACAACCCTCCTGCTGCACTTGCACTCCTAAGCCTAGGGAGGGTCCTGAGACACACATCCATCCCCTGTGCCATCCACTGATGCTCACTACCACCTCTCTCAACCCTGTCCCCCTTAGCATGGGCTCCATCCAGGGCAGCACCCTGCTGTCCCTGCTCAGTGCAGGCCTTCTTGCAGCTCCCACAGCACAAATCCCATGACAGGCAGGGCCGAGCCTACCTGTGGAGTATTTCAGCTGGACCTGCCCCTGGATGATCTCCACCGCCAGGAAGTCGTGTCTCTCATTCAGGCGCCCATTGTAGAGCAGGAGGCCGCTGGGCTCCACGGTGCTGAACCTGGGGTAAGGGAGGAAGCGGGAGGGCAGTGTGCGCACAAGGTTCACGTGGAGATCCCTGCCCTCCCATGGCACACACCAGCATCCCAGCACCGGGACAGGGTGAGACCCGTGCCCGGTCCTGGGTGCACGCCTAGCTGGGAAAGGGCTTGGAGCTTGATCCAGCAGATGTTTTGGGAGGATGGGGGCTTGGCATGGAGGCACAGAGATCACAGCAGGGAAGGGTAGAGGCACTGAAGGAAGGGATGAGCTGATGCCAGGGCAGACATGCCAGTGCGGATCCAGATCCCTTTGGCTAAAGGCACCAGGGAAGCCCCGTGGGAAGGCAAAGTCGGTAACGCAGGGGTCTGGAGAACATCGAGTCCTTGGACAAGCCCAGGGTGCACAAGAGCCACCAGAGCAGGGCCAGGTGAACTGGCAGGTGCTGGTGTTCATCAGAGGAAGGAGAGGACTCACGAGAGGGCGAGGGTGAGGTGGAAGCGTTGCCGCAGGCCCCGGAACATGATGAAGGATCGTGGCGGGAAGGAACGCGTGGACACCTCACAGAAGGGTGTCTCGAAGCCGCCCGCTGGGCACTGGCAGCGGAAGCCCCCGTCAGCGCCGTTGGTGCAGGTGCCGCCATTGCGGCACACGCCGGGCACGCAGCGCCCCGAGCGGCTGTCCACTTCGCAGTTCTCGCCTGGCGGGGAGCAAGACGAGAGGCTTGGGACATGTGCTGGCTGGGGGGCACACACGCAGTGGCCACCCATCCACTCCTTGCCCCGGGAGTGCAGACTTCAGCCCAGGTTTGGAGCAGGGCAGCCCAGGGGCAGGAGTTTTGGGGGCAGCTGGGGGCAGGTGAAGGATGCGACAACCCAGGTGTCACCCAGGTGTGAGTGACAGGCCTGGGACAGGCATCGCAGTCCTGGCTCTGGGGTGTGGGCATAGCCCAGCACCACTGAGCTCCCCTGCCAACAGCTATGAAAGTCTCACCCGCAGCACCAGGAGCGTCCTAACCCTGTGTGTAGGCTCTGACATAGGAGCAAAAGCCAAGTAGAAACCAGCCAGATGAGGGACACCAAACACCCTTGCACCTTGCTGGCATCGGTAATAGGGATGCCCCAAGCCAGCTCAGCAGTGCAGCGTACGGTGTCTGGCTAGCCCCATTCCCCACGCTGTCCCTGCAGCATGCAGGCAACCGCTCAGCTGCAGTCCTGCGCACCGGGCCCTGCTCCCATTACTTGCTTTGTGGCTCACAAGGAGGATGAGGAGACAGCATGAAGTGACAGGGAAACGAGCTCATTAACCCTTCTGCTAATGGCTGTTCACGCTTCAAATGCTGGGGGTTAATTACCACTGACTGCTTATCTCACCACTCTGCTTATCTCACCAGGAGCCACTCAGCCATCTGCTGCCAAGCTCCCTCCCAGCAGGGAGGGCAAGGCAGGGGCTCCCTCCCCAGTAGCCACAGGCCATCTTACCTCACTCCCAGACTGCAGTGGCCAGGCATGGGTATCCAAGCCTGTGAGGGACTTGTGGCAACAAGACACTGGCCAGTCCAGGGATCTTCCCCCCCCAGCTAGGACCAGATCTGCCTGGATCAGATATCTGCTGCCAAGCTCCCTCCCAGCAGGGAGGGCAAGGCAGGGGCTCCCTCCCCAGTAGCCACAGGCCATCTTACCTCACTCCCAGACTGCAGTGGCCAGGCATGGGTATCCAAGCCTGTGAGGGACTTGTGGCAACAAGACACTGGCCAGTCCAGGGATCTTCCCCCCCCAGCTAGGACCAGATCTGCCTGGATCAGATCCTGCTTGGTAGGGCAGCTAGGCTCAGCCTCCTGTTTTGGGTGGGCAGCAGCTCACTCACTGCACATGGGGCCAGCGTGGGCTCCACACCTCTGCCAAACCAGGTGAAGACTGGCACAAGCTGAAACCAGAACCTCCAATCGTCCCAGAGCCCATCACCCCACTGGCATGGGGCAGGGCAGAGGACCCTCCTGTGCCCTAGCCTGACACCGTCCAGCTTGGTCCTCCTGCTCTGAAAAACGCTGGGAGGTGGTGACCAGGGTCCCCAAGAGCCCTCCATGCCATCTCCCTACAAGACAGATTTCTATGGCAACCTCAGCCCTGCACATCCAGCGCCATGGAAACACGGAGAGCTGGGAGCAGAGCCAGACCTCTGCAGGTAAAGAGGGGCTCCGACACCCCCCGCCCTGCTGGGAAGAGCACCCCACCATGGTGACAGCAATGCCAAGGGACCTGCTCACCTGTCCCCCTGTGGCCCCCCCGCCCCGGGCACTCACCGCTGAAGTGCTGGCGGCAAATGCATGTGTATCCCCCCTCCTTGCGGGTGCAGATCCCGCCGTTCAGGCAGGGGTTAGAGTAGCAGAGGTTGATCTCTGTTTCGCAGTAGTCCCCGGTGAAGCCCTGCGGGCAGCGGCACCGCAGGCCAGTGATGGGGTGGATGGGTCGAAAGAGGGTGGAGGGTGAGGCGATGAAGGGGGCTGAGCTGTCAAACTTGAGGACGGAGATGCACTTCATGTAGTTCTGGCAGGGCTCCCGCAAGCAGACGTTGTCGTCAAAGGGCAGCACCTCCAGCATGGAGGCACCTGTCAGTGCCATGCGTTTCATGTAGAGCTGCTCCTGAAGCTCCTCCGAGCTGAAGTAGCGCCCGCCCCGTGGTGCCAGGGCCGAGAAGCTGACGTTGAGCACTGTGCCGCCCACATCTGTGTCATTCTGGATGTTGAAGATGAAGATGTCCTCCTTGGGCGTCGCGAGCACGGTGGCCACCCCTTCCAGGAAGGTGGACAGCAGCGGGGAGAGGAAGCGCTCCTGCCACATGTTCTCTAGCCGCACCGTGATGCTGTTGGCCAACATGTCCTCTGTGATGATGATCACCCGCAGGACGCACTGGGCCGTCACGCTGTGGATCCCGTCTGTGGGAGGGAGCAGGGACACACTGCAAGTCTTTGCTGCTTGGAGGGTCTCCTCCCTCCCACCCCAGGGCAGAGCCCTGCACCCCAGGGCAGCCCCCAAAAGGACCCTGTCCTTGGCTAAGGAAGCTTGGAGCCACAGCCCCAGGGGTTAGCAGGTTGCCACCTGGGCTGGACGGGGAACAGTCAGTGTAGCTGCACCTTCTCCCTCCCCTCAGGCTCTCCACTGAGATAACTCTCAGGTTTCCTCCTTGTCTTGGATCTCGGCAGCAAACTGAGCTCTCAGTAACAAAGATGCTGGTGAGACTCGGGCAGAAGGAAGGCCCAGCAGGAGGCTGGGCAAACACAGGAGCCGATGCCAGGGCCCAGGGTGTTTTGCTTCCCCACTGCGCCCTGTCTGCCGCCCCCACACTGCCTTTCCCTGCGCTCTCCTTCTGCCATTTCCTTCCTCCTTCCTCCAGGGTCTCCAATGCTTTTGTGTTGGTCTCCCTGCTTCCTCCCTTCTCACCATCTGCTCCGCATCTCTTTCCCCCTCGGCCCATCTCCGGTTTGTTTAATTCCCTTTAATCTTTGTTTTTCTTGGAAGCGAGCTCCCTCCCCTTGGGACCCTGCACCACACGAGCGATCTCCCAGGCATGGATGCACACTTGGAGGGTGCCTGCCTGCTCTGTCCCAGAACCCTGGCCATTAGCAGCATCTCACCCCCACATTAGGCACACTCACGTGCCAGCAGCTCAGGCTGAAAGGGCACGGGCAGCACAGCACCAGCCCAGACAGGCAATGGCACAGCTCCCACTGCAGGACCCACCGCAGCAGCGATGTGATTTGAGGCCCCCTGCCCCATCTACCCCACTCCCAGAAACCCAACGGATCCCACTACCTTGCAGGGTCATACCCTGCTGCAAATTAGGAAATACTGGCCAAAATGGGAGCTGGACAAGACAGGCAGATGTGACCATGTTCCTAATTCCTCCAGGAAACCCTGCTACAAGCACAGGCAGGCACTCAGTGCCCCTCCCAGTGAGATGGAGACTGTAATTCCCCCAGCTGGGGACCTGTCAGGCAGCAAGCCCCAGAGCTTGCTCAGATCACACACCCGCTGGTCGCTTCCAGAGCACAACTGCCCCAGCCCATTCCCCGGCCTCACCACTTCACACTGCCCAAACACAAGTTGCCTGGCCCTTTGTTGGGGCTGTCGCTCTTCTCCCTGTCTGCCCAAGCAGAAGTCTGGGCAGTGGTTTTATTTTTCAGTCATTAACTCTTTCTTCCACATGACCCCAGTCAGTGGCTTTGCCAGGAGACACCCCACAAAGCAGCCTGCCAATGTTCCCCTCACTCAGGCACCTTTGATAGCAGCTTTGGCTGGGGCACCCAGGGGGGAGAAGCCTGCCTGCTGCTCCAGGACACCTGCTGTCTTCCAGTCCCCCTCCTTCTGGGCCCTCCACCCCCAGCGCAGGCTCCGTCAGGCAGAGCCAGCCTTCAGCATGGTGAAGCAAGGACTGCACCAACCTCTGTGGCCTCAGAAATGCCCGATGATGCTCATCAAGAACCTCACTGCTCCCAGTGAAATGGGGCAATCCATCTTCCAGCTCACTTCCAGCATCTCAACACCAGGCTGCCACCTGCTGTTCCCATCTCCCACCCCACATCCACCCGAGAGCCCCAAACCCCCAAGTTTCCTTGGAAACCTGGCTCTCCATCATCAAACAAAGACAACATTTACACCAGCACAACTCGATGGTGACACCCAGGACTATCCCTGGGTACCAAGCCTTGCTGTAACATCCTCTACACATGGCCAATAAGTGGCAAGCACAAGCCACCTCCTTCACCTGGGGACATTGGTTTCAGCCGCCTGTGCCTCCCTGCAGGCAAGGCCACCCGAACAATGGGCAAGGAGTTTCCTGGGACGCCTCCCTTTCCCCATGTGCCACACTGATCGCTGGCAGGTAAATCAGCTCTGCAGAGACAGCCTCTTGCATCCTCCCCTGGGCATCCATGTCAGGTCCAACACTCTGGGCCTCAATTTAAACACTGACATGGGAGATGGGCTTCTGAAAAGGCAGGCAGGAGGGTGGATCTCACTTCAGGGGAAAAGCAACTAAAGCAAAGATGCCCCCAGCACCACTGAGGGCAGGCCCCCCTCTGCCTCACTCCATCTCTCACCCATCCTCCAGCACATGCTGGTGTGGGCAAACCAGGCGCCCAGGGCTGGGCTGCTCACACGCTGCCCTTTCGCCTCGCAGCTGGAAAGCTGAAGGATGAGGCCTCAGCAGCTCTGGCTGTTCCCAGCCCAGGGGCAGCCACGTGGGTTATAACCAAGCACATTGGTGTGACCAACCCATTAGAAGGGCCCTGCGCGAAAGGTGCCACGATCCGATCTAGCCCACAGTGGCCCTGGAGGGACCACAGTGCATTACTGGTGCGAACATAGGAGAGCTGCTCATTTACTCACACACTGTAATCTCTGCCCCTCTCTCAGCCCAGGGTATGACACCACTTTGTGCTATTCAGAGAAGGTAGGGGACCCACAATCTTCAAGGTGACCCTGTCCTCAGCTGTGCAAAGGCATAGCACAGCCCCGTGCTGCCGCACCTCCCCTGCCCGCCCTTCCAAGTGGGATGTAACTGCATGGCACATCTCCCGCACACGGATGTAACTCGGGCAGCTGCTCAAATAAGCACCACTACCAGGACACACAGGACAGACTAACGGGACAGACCATCACCTCCAGGCAGCCCTGGCCAGCCCGTGCGAAGGCCACATGTGAAACAAGCCCAGCAAACCCAGCCAGACCCTGCTCATCACTGCTTCATCTCCTACAACCCACTGCAAGGTGGTACAAGGGGCAGCACGCTTCCCGGCACTCCGGTTTGCCTCAGCCCTGATGAGGGCCAGGGGTGTAAATACCAGCCCCCTGTCCCCCACCAATGTCCCAGCTCCAAGCCTCATGTGCAAAGCTGCCTTTTACTGTTCCTCTCTTCCCACAGCTGCCGTGCTGCAAAGCCTTTTGATTTCCCTCAGCCCCGTTTGAAGTTTGCAGTGCAGGAGGATTTAAAGATTGAAATGTCTTCCTTTTTCTCCTCTCTCTCTTCTACTCTTCAGAAGGTGAAAGCTTTCTGGCGACCCTGCAAATTCCTGCGCAAGCACCAGCCTGCGCGCAGTGGCTGCTGCTCTGGAGATAAGGCTTTGCTGGGCTGGGGGAGCAGTGGTGCCAGTACAGTCACCCAGGAGCTAATCTCCTGGAGGAAGCAGGGGTTGCTGCTCTCTGAAATCAAACTGCTCCTGCCCCATATGGAAGTGAGGTGAGAAACCACCCCTCTGTGTGACACCCTACCGGCTCTGACATGGAGGGCAGCATGAGCAACAGTTACCAAACAGCTCTGTCCAGCACCTGGCTGGACGTCCCAGGGGATTTAGACCTGCATGGGCTCCAGGCAAGGGACTGGCATCATTGCCTACGTCCCCCAAGGTACCTTTTCTCTGCAAGAGGCTCACAGGCTGCCAAGATCACCCAGCCCTGGGGAGGCAGGAGCAAGGGGAAAACCACAAGCCTGGCTCAGCCACACTTGGCGTAAGATGCTCCCCAAGCCACCAGCAGCCTGGCATCCCTCCCTGAGGGACCAGCTGGTGAGGCAGCACCCCGAGATGCCACCACTTTGACACCAGCTCCCTTCTCAGTGGGAAGCTGTACCATGTCCCCACTCCCTCTCCTCTCCCTTTGTCCCCCCCTCGCAGTTTGCCTCTCTGGCCAAGGCAAGTATGAGCTCAGTTTGAACCCAGCTGCCTCCCGCTCTCCTCTCTCTGGCTCATGGTTCACCCAGAAGCAGCCGTGAGGCCCAGGGGACAGCTCTCCCCAAGGGCTGCTCAGCACCCAGCAATAGGCAGGCAGACATCTGCCTGATTTATGGCTGTTATTAGGCCTTGGCTGATGTGATGCTGAGTCCTGGGGCAGGCTGGAGGCCAGCAACACCTCTCGGAGGCAAGGAGGCCATGGCCTGGGAAGAAGGCAGGCTGCAGGGTGCCCACCGCATTTGGTGTTGTCCAGCCCATGGCAGGAAAGCCCAAACGCCCCTTTCCCAGTTCCCCACAGCAATGCAGAGCTAGCCCCAGCCCCACAGCCCTCCTCAGTAAGCTCCTCCATAACATGCTGTCCCACCGCAGCATCACACCAGGCCTGCCTCCCCCTTGGCTCAGTGCAAGGGGAAGCAGATGGTTAAGAGAATGACCTGCTGCAACTGAGGGGAGAAAAAAAAGCTACCAAAAGAAAGCCCAAAGCTGGCTGGAGGCACTGACCCCCCTGGGAGGCATTTTAATCACAAATGCTCAGCCTTTCTGATTAAATCCTGTGGCTGGAGAGCTGGTGCCTAGTGAATATTCATGCAGTAGAGCAAGGAGCCCTGGAAACATGCCTACAGGGAAAGGAGCCGGGAGAAGGGACACGAAGGGCTCTAACCCCCTGTGCTGGGTAGCACCAGGTCATCATGTTTGCACTTCCAAGACTGACAATTACCAGCTTCAAAAGCAGCAAGGCTACATAAAGAAAAATTCTGGACAGACAGACAGTGGGATGGGCAACAGACTCCTCCTTGGGGGACTGCACTGTCAGCCTGGGAATGGAGCTCCAGGCCTGTGCTGGAAACCTCTTGGGGGGAGCAGGGCTGCCAACTGCTGCCAACAGTCTCCTGGGTCTGCCAGGGTGAGAGCCCATCTCTTCTGTGCCCCTGTGCTGCCAGAGGCTCTCCAGATACCTGGCCAGCACCCCAGCCTGCCATGTGGCACAAGGCATGGGCTCCAGCCAATGCTCTCACCCCAAGAGCCTTGGCGTCACTCTCAGAGGTTCCCTTTTCTCTACAGCAAACATTTTGGCCTTCAGCCTCTCAGGGAGCTCCAGAGATCAGGAAGAAGGCAGCTCAGCTCAAAAAGCCTCCATGACCCAGGAGGGGATGCACCCGTCCCTCACCCAGGCAGGACCAGGAGCTCCGGTGCATGACCACCTGTCCTCTTCTAAGCGGCAGAGCCAGCGTCCGAGACAGCGAAAGCCACTGCTCTGACTGCAACACCCTGAGCAGCCACCCCAGAGATGGTGAGGGTGCTCTGGGGACAGACAGCGGTAAGTTTCACAATTGCAGCTGAGGAGCAGTAAAACACCTCCAGATGGAGAAGCCAGGAAAGGAGGAGACAGGTATGGGTAAGGTGAACACTCCTCACCACTTCTGAAGGGCTTTGGCAGACCTCTCAAGATTTTGATGATACTTGACAGGTTACGAGACCTTGGAACTAAATCAGACTCCCTTCACACAGCTCAGAGTATGAATGTCACTCTCCCGGTAGCTCTAAAGACAGGGACTAAAATACAATAACCAAGAAGACTCCAAAAACATTCCCTAACCAGCAAAGGAAATCCTTAAGTCTCCCACCCCTTTATCGTGGTCAGCACCTCCAGCTGTGATGGACCTAATGGGGTGGGAAGCTTCTGAGAGTAAGCTCCTCAAGAGAGGACAGGCGTGCAAGTTGTGAAAGGCCAGGACAGCCCTGGGACCCTTACTCAGCTTGAAAAGATGCCTCAGATGCGTTCAGACATAGGAGTCAGGACAAATGTGCTCTAGGGGGGTTTTCCCTGCCAGGCTGGAATTTCAGGTGAGATATCTTGGACAAATGGGCCCCCTCACCAGGGTAAGCTACTGGACTACAGGCTCAGGGGAGCTGTGCACAAAGAGCTTGAGGGGAACGGGGGCAACAGAGCAGCCACAGCTGAATGTGGCTGAGCCTCCACCCTTGCCACTAGCCCAGCAACCTGGCCCAGTGAAACCGGTCTGGAATGGTTTAAAGTCAACACGACATCAGTCTCTGACGACAACACCCGGATTTCACACTGTGCTGCTGGCCCCAGACACAGCCCTACCACCCCACTGTCCTGCATCCTCAGTGGCCAAGAGCAGTTTTTATCAGCCATAGGCGCCCACACATCTACAAGGAGCTGAGGTCAGTTTTGAGGCTGCCCATCTCCCTGGAAAGGCACTGGTTTGTGATGGCACAAGTCTTCCCTGCCTCCTACGAGGGGCTGAGCCAAGAACACACACAGCTCACAGGCAGGCAGAAGGGCCCCTTGCCCTGTGAATTAGGGGGATTCAGCCTCCCTCAAAGGGACCATAAAGCTCACAGGCAGGCAGAGAAGCTGCTCCCTCCTCAGACGCTGACCCTCGAGGCACCCACCTAGGTGCTATTGTTGCCTTCCTGCAGGAGGAAGGTGGTCCTGCACGGCACCA